GTGTAACTCTTTCCCTATATTAGACTCCATTTGTTCTACATACTTGAAGTGGTTCCTAGTCTCCTGGTCAGACTTTGACTGATGGAATGGCCTCCTCCATTGGGTTGTTAAAGTTCTAGCCACACACAAACCCTAACTAGCTGCCTTTGAATCCCAATTCCCAGTTCTCTCAGAAAGAGAAGGTGATTGGTCCCATTTATTTCAGGTTCTTGATGCGTTTGGTGGGGGGAGAAGGGAGACGTGATTGAGGGTTGGTGGGAGATAGCTCTTATTATGAGCTGCACAATCAGCCCCCAAACGATCTACTTCAGGAATGCAGAATGGAGAGGGGAGTCCCAGATGGCCCATGTTACCCCACGATGCTTTTAAAAATGTATATTATTAGTCTTAGAATATTTATTACAATCTGAAATATCTTTATAGTGAAAATAACTCAAACAATCTTTCTTATGTTTTTAAAAGGCTTTGCTTGTTGTTATCTCTGCCCAGGTTTAGCTGCATTTTAATGGATGACTCTGGGCAGTTAAAAGGTTTTTCAAAACCCAAAATACAATTAAAGAATTTAGATCTCTTTACATTTTATTCATAACTGTGACCTACAGCTCTAGGCCAAGGGTAGGCCAGAGGAAGTTCTAGAATTTGGGTGGTTTCAGTTCAGGTCCCCAGAGAAGCAGACCCCAAGGTGGGATTGGGTGTGCAAAACTTTTATTGAGAGAATACCAGTGAAGGAGCAGGGGGAAAAGCCTTTAGACCATGATACAGCTCTGACAACTGTAAAAGCTAAGAGGGAAAGAAGGAAGATTGACTAAGAAGGTGTTAAGACTGCAGGCAGTCCTAAGAAAGTCTTGGCTAAGCCTATGGGGAATCGTTGAGCAGAAGCTGCCCTTTGGAGGAATCTGGTGTCCCTTGAGAAGGGGCCTGCCCTAATACCCCTGCTGTGCTCACTCATTCACTGGGAGCAGCCCAGGAAAATGTGGCCTTGGCCTAACCACAATGGTGGATCTGGCAGGCGGTGAGGCTGAAGTTCAGCTGTGTTCTCTGAGGCCGGGGATCTGAGCAGGGCGTTTCCATGGCTGCTGCACATAGTACCAAAGGAGGAGGATTCCCCAAAGCCAGCTCCACACACAGTGCATGCTCACCATACCACTTCACTGCCAATTTACAGAGGGGCATCTTGTTATCCTGGTATTCTAAGCCACTGTGGCAATTTCAGGATCTGATGGTGGCCCATTTACCCAGGTAAGTTGAAAGGAGTGGAGGAGAAAAGAATCAGAAGGGATGTGGATATTGGCTTGGGCAGAGTGGGCCTAGACTGAGTTTCCCCATACGCAGAGACCTAGGAGAGAGCTTCCACCTTTCCTAGAAAACATCTGCATGTTTGTGCTTCACTTTCTGCCAGGCCCCAAGACCAAGAATGCACATAGATGCCTAAGAAGAGAACCCAGTAGCTGCAAAATTATCTCAGTTGCTTTTTCTAAAAATGCTGACATTGGTTCACATTCAATTTTTCTACCATAAAAACATGAACTGTATTATAAGTAGCATAATTCAAAATGAATTTTCAGGCATTGTTTATATTTTCTGGAGTTATTAATCATAAGCTTTATTACTTATTTCTTTTTCATAGATTAGACTGCTGGCACTCTTAGCCCTGTCAAGGTGCTCTGTACCAATCTGGAACTAACACACTCCTCACGTTTCTCTTGCAGATTAGGGATGGAAGAAGCTGGAAAGAAGGTGGATTTCTATTAGCCACCATTGTGGCCTAAAGAATGGGGTCATTTTGGGGCTCTTCATAGGGCCAGCTGTGCCTCCCAGCTGTGAGACCACCAGGACACAGGTGATGCAGGATGACTGTGCTGGTTTCCCATGTCTCCTCGCTCCTTACCTGATAGGAAGTTTCTAAGGTCATCTCGGAACATGCATAGCTCTTCCTTGCAATTTGGAAAAGCCTCATCATCAGTCATTCAGGAGAGAGATGATGAGGATCTGAGGTGAGAGATGTTGGTGGTGCTGGAGAAGAAAGCCTATTACTTGGTGACTGGGTGTGGGAGGGTAAAGAGAAGTCCAGGAAAGCTCCCAGGTTCTTAGTTTGGGGTCCTAGAGAGATGAACCCACCATCAGTGAAGGTGGAGGACATAGGATAAGGGGCAGATTTGGTGGGAATTTGAAAACTCAGTTTGAGCAGGCCAAATTGGAGATGCCTGTGGCAACAGTGGGGACACATCTGTAGCAAATGGCTGGATATACAGGTTTATTTTGGTTATTTATTGCTACCTAACAAACTACCACCAAGCTCAGTGGTTTGAAACAACGATATTATTTATTTGCTCACAATGCTGCAGTTCACGCATGGCTTATAGCAGCTCACCCCTGCTCCATGTAGCTTCAGCTGGGGCAACTTGACTGGGGCTGGAGAATCCAGTTCCAAGATGACCTCACTCATGCGCGAGGCAGTTGGTGTGGTCTAGAGAGAGCACAGGCGGGCCTCAGTTTTCCTTTGTCTGACCTCTTGAGATGGTTAGGCTAGACTTCTCCAAGAATGGTAGTCTCACCATAGTGGGATTTCTTAAGTGGTGCTTCCCTTGAAGGGCAGAACTGGAAGCTGCTGTCGAAGACAGACAAGCTAGGAAATAGATTTTATTCAGGTTATTACAACAGGAACAGTGCCAAGATTTGAAATCAGAGTGTCTCCACACAGTGGTTTTGCCATATAGGTTTACAGGAAGGAGTAGACAGGTTAAGGGGGGATTATAGTTGGTATTGTTTTGTAACCAGCAGAAGTCTCAGTCAGCCAGGAAAGGTTTATCTCCATGTCTAGCTAATTTCAAGGGGACAAACAGTTCTAACTTCAGCTAACCACCTATGAGACAAAGAAATGGGAAGTTGAAGGGTTTGTGCCTGACCTTGTTAACAGGTTTAAGCAAAAGGGGTAAAGTCTTGTTTGGCCCTTTAGTCTTAGGAGAAAGAATGGATAGTGAATCTCATCTAAGTCAAATGGGGAAGGGTGGTTCTTTGCGGTAAGCCATTTCCCAGAACACAGACAGGTGGAGGGATTACTTAATTCTGTTTTCCAGGAATATTGCCCCTGGTAAGGAACAATGCTGCCTCTGCAAAGTCTTCCTAAGGCCGTTGGCCTTGAACTGGCAGAGTCGTTTTTGTCATATTCTATTGTTTAAAGCAGTGACAGGCCCAGCCCAGATTCAAGGAGAAAGGATTACACAAAGATGTGAATTTTGGGGAGGCATGGCATATTGCAGGCCACCAAAGTAATAGTCTCCCACAGAGTCTGAACCTTGAATTGGAGATTTAGAATGCGATGCTACCAGCAGATACTAGGTGGTAGCTGAAACTCTTGGGTGGGATCACTCTTGGTAAGTGTCCATCAATATTGAAGACATGTAAGATTGTAGTCTTAAGAGTTGTGATTTTTCCTTGTTTTTCAGAAGCCCCTGTTAATATTGTTTCTTTTATCCCAGTATTTTCTGGGATTTTGCAACTAGTTCTGTTGCTTGAATATCATCTCGGTATTCACTAGTTTAACAGTAATGATTGGTCTAGTCAGAATTTCCAGTGAGTAAGTTTTTACATTTTAATTATTTGCCCTGATTAAATCCGGCCAGAGGCTTGAACTTAACCTGTCTAGCTTCTGCGACAAAGAGGGCCAACAGAAAGAGAGGGAAGCCCTGTGCTGGGTGTGAACAAAGATTTTCCCACACAGGGAACCTCTTCTAAAGCTAGCTAACCTTTAGAAATTTGAACTTTCTCTGCCTTGATTTCCTTTTTCTGGACTCAACAATATCAATTTCCTCTGGAGCTCTTTGTGAAGATAGGCTAATAAAAGATCATAAAACTTTTTTTACTAGGTGAAGCATTTACCGCTCTAATTAGCATTGCCATTCAAAAGCTTTCATATTGGGAAAACACCACCAGCATTCCACCATGTGCTTGAGATTAAGGAAAGTCTTAAATCCTGATTAAGCAGAGGTGGAGGGCATACAATCACAAAGTTTAGACATTGCTCATGTTCTGATAGTCATTGGACCTTTGCTGAGATACAATGCTAAAGATATACCAACCCAGGTTATGAGGAAAAGAAAAAAATCTGAGCCTGGTGTGGATAAAGTGAAGGTTCCTATGGCCAAGATTCTCACCTGGCCCTGGTCGGCTAGCTCACTACACACGTGTGGGCAATACACTGCTATTGTCTCTATATAAAGAGCTCTCTGCCTAGTGCTCTGGGCTGCTCCACAGCTGGACGACTGCAAAGCTGTAGGAGAGTAGAGACTGGTGTGGTGTCAGCACTGAGGACAGAGACTGAGACAACTGAGGGGGCAGAGAGGCTCAGAGGCTGAGACTGGCTTGCTGCATGCAGACTCCATCTGAGTGGATGGGATTCTAGTGATTGACCTGCCACCATGGGAATAAAGTTGGGTATAAACCCTTTCACCCCCAAAATGTTCTCTTGTCATTCCTTGGTCTCACTGAATCCATAGTGAACTTGCCCTGGGCTGAAACCCATTGGCAAGACACCTAGATTGTGCGTTGGTAAAAAATAACTATTATATATTATTTTCTATGGGTTATGTTAAAGTAGGTGCACAGAATAGTAGTGACTTCCCCAAAGCAGAGTGGTGTACTTTTCAGAGGAAGTGACAGCTGAGCTGGGACTTGAAGCATGAAGAGGAGTCCACCCAGCTATAAAAAATGTCCAATGGGAGGCCATTGACATGCAAGAAGGAAATGTAAATTATTTGGAGGGTCCCAGGGGTTGACATCTCCCCTTCGTCTCAGTGTCACCCTGAAAAGGTAGTAGTGAGTGTGAGTTGCTGAGTCCCAGGAACAAGTGTGCAGCCTTCAGGGTGCGGAGGTTCGGAGTGGTGGGGGGTGTAGCGAGGGAGAAGGAAGTGCGAGGCGGGGTGGGGACGGGACACAGGGGGAGCGGGAAGCCCTGCTGCGCATGCGCTCGGGCAGCCGGCAGGCTCACTGCTGGGGGTTCCGCGGACGGCGAACTCTCCACTTCCCGCCGTGCGGGGCCCCACAGACCAGCCCAGACAGCGAGCGCGCGGTGCGCCGACCATCCTCCAGACCCTCGCGGGCGTTTGCGCACGAGCGTCCCGGGCGCGCGAGCCGCGGGGTTATTAGAGGTGGAGCGGAGCGCGGGGAGGGCGCGCGGCAGGAGGCGGCCCGTTACGGCGAGAGCGTGGTCACGTGGGCGCTGGTCACCGCCCCCGCCCGCCCTGTTCTCCTTCTGGTCGGGCCAGCCCCGCCGGCTCCGCGAGCGATCGGCTGAGACTGAGGGGGAGAGAGGAAAAGAGGGGAGGAGGACTCAGGGAGTAGGAGCTGGGGAGTCCTTCTGCGCCACAGGTAAAACCAGATGACGGCACTCATGAAAAGGCCCGAGCCCCCTGGGCGCCCGTCTCCCTCCAGCGCAGCTCCCACCTGCCGTCGCTCCCGCCCGGCCTCCCTTCCGCCACGGGTCCGGCTCCGCCCGCCTCGAGCCGCCGCCGCCGCCGCCTCGCAAGCCTGCGGGGCCGCGCGCGGTGCGCCTCCGGGAGCGGAGTGGGAGCCGGGGCGCGGGAGAGGAGGCCCCCAGCCCCGGGCGGGAGGCCGGCGTTGCTCCTCTGGCCCCGGCCTACCCTCCTGCGGGAGGCCGGCGGCAGCAGGCCGGGGGCTCAGCTTTCTTCCTGCGCATCCCCCTGTCCGTTCGGCGGCGGGCGGCACGCTTCCTCCTCAGGCCGGAAGCGGTCCGAATCCCAGACCGTCTCAGATCAGCCTGGAGGGCGAGGAGCGCTTCGCCTTTGACAGGAGAAAAACGGCCTTGTCTGAGTACGACTTCAGTGTATTCACCTGTGAGAGCGAGCAAGTCGAGGCTTTTCAGAATAATAATGAGAAACAAAGTTGATCCCTCTTCTCCTACTTTTCCTGGCAAAACCAACACAAACATCCAAAACAATGCTCCGGTCTACAAATGACCTAGACTTTGTCCAGTACTTGCTATTAAATAGTTTTAGTACCAGGAATATGATTTATGTTTGAAGTTCACATCCTTTAGATTTTTTTTCTGAATAATTTCTCTGGAAAGAGTTTCATTTGTCAGTTCCGAATTGGGACTAAAGCCCGGAAGTTTTGCATGCAGGGTGCATACCTTTGAGCTGGACTGTGCTGAGATTTCTAGACCCAGTCATTCTTTTGTATTCTTTGTATAACAAAATTTAGCCCCCCAAACGATACATTAGTAGTGTGCGGTTGCACAAAATAGTTAAGACTGGAACAATTAAATGTAGGCATTGTTGAAAATCTTTGAACACTTTTGACTTATATTAGTGGTAAAGAAATTCATTTATATGTTGGTTATTTCTCTTAATGAACTTTTATGATTAGATGTTTTGGAATTTTCATACCATACATCTAAACTAGAATAGACGTAGAGCATTTAAAATTTGTGCAACTATCTGCAGAAAACTAATATGATGTAGGACTTCTTAAACTTCAATGTGCATAGAAATTCCTTGGGGATGTTATTTAAAAATGCAAACTCTGAGTAGTTCTGTAATGCAGCTTGTTTGTCAGCAATTTTTACAAGATTCTAGGTGCTGCTGGACATCCTTTAGCAACGATGTAGGTAACTCGTGTGCCAAGAAATGAAATGATGTGGCAATGAGCAAGTGCCTTTTAGTAATTCTCCCAGCGTGGGAGAGAGGGCTTGAGGGAAGAGGCAAATGGTAGGATGAACTGAGAAAGCTTGCTTTAGGGAGACCCTTTATACAGAGTGAGCAGGCCACGTTGGGTAGGCAGGGGGAATAGCAGAACTGGGGCAGCTGTCTCAACCAGGAAGAGTGCAGGTACCAGTTGTTGATTCTGTGTGGTGCCTGCATCAGTTGGCCCTGGCAATATGCCGTAGAAGTTCAGTACTTCTGGCTGGAGGACTTGCTCAGTTATGGGTAGTTGGGCTTTATCAACATACAGGTTATTAAGCATATGTCTGAATGCACTGCTGGGGTAAAGATTCTTTGGTGAAAGTATTGAATGTGTGCTCTTTCTTACTCAAATGCAGCCTCAGTTGAGTAATGCAATCCTGAGCCTTGGAATCAAGCTTGTAAACAATTTAGGGTCTCCACCTGTTGTGGGTATTCCTAACTGGATTCCGATTTTTTTCCTAAAGTAATTTTTAAAAAACATAAATTGAAAAGTTGAAAAGTGTCATACATAACCTAATATACTTTACATAAAAAGTACACATGCCAGTACTTTTAAAAACCTTTATTAAAGTATAACAACTTTTAGTACTGTAATTTTTTTTCACAAAAATGTTTTAATTTCTTTTAAAATCAGAAGAAAAAATGAGATTTTAGAAGAAAATGTTTTACTTTGTAATTTGAATGTATTCATCTTTATGCCAATGTGAGTTTTAAATACAATTTTAATATATTTTTTAAATTAATTAAAATTTTGTTGTCATTAATCTACAATTACATGAAGAATATTATGTTTACTAGGGTCCCCTCTTCACCAAATCCCCCCCACAAACCCCATTACAGTACTGTCCATCTGTGTAGTAAGATGCTGTAGAATCACTACATGTCTTCTCTGTGTTGCACAGCCCTCCCCATGACCCCCCCCACATTATACGTGCTAATTGTAATGTCCCCTTTCTTTTTCCCCATCCTTATCCCTCCCTTCCCTCCCTTTCTCCCCAGTCCCTTTCCCTTTGGTAACAGTTAGTCCATTCTTAGGTTCTATGATTCTGCTGCTGTTTTGTCCCTTCAGTCT